TACTTGTCATAGACGCATTCAATATAATTATACCATGAACATTATAAAATATACAATAAACAAACAAAAGGAAGTTTGAAATTGATATTTTATATCTGAATAAATAAAATTTTATTAAATATTGTTTTTCATTTAAACACTCGCCTATTCTATGATGTGTTATTATATTCATTTCTCTTGTCAATTATAATTATTTAGTTTTATGACATTTTCACATCTTCCACGTTTTATTTTTTAAATATTCTTCTAGCTGCCACTGTATACAGATTCTGTCGTACAATGTCTTGTTCAATTTTATTAAAAAGAAAGAGATAAGTATAATGTGTAATTTTCAATCGAGGCTTTCGATCTGTGGTTTCTTTTAGTTATTACTGTAAGTTTATACTTGTTTATACTGACAGATGAATCATTCATTCAAATGATCAAAAATAAAGATTGACTGTACTTTATTTACTAGTCACTTTAGACGATTACTTTGAATAAAACACAAATAAGAATGATATTACAAATCATCCAGAATAATGATTCAAAGTGCAAATGTGTAAATTCACTTTTAAATTGTATCTCGGTACGTGCGAAATTTTAGTGGCAGATTGTAAATTGCAGTAAATAGCAGAGTAACGCGTCGTTTCAGTGTAGTCGACATTACATGGACCACCAACGTCGAGAAGGTGGTTTTAACGCGGAAACAAAGGACTAGGAATATGAGTCTCGCGATCCAGGGTTTGTATCCGCGTCTTTTTGAAAGTATGCAACTCAACTTATATGTGGCTCACTTCGCATGACTCTTGACCTCAATTGTGCGTATGAGAAATGTATGATTTAAAGAATGATAGTGGTAATTTTCAAAAGAACAGCCAAATTATATATATAATTTGAAAGAAAAGTATGACTCAAATTATGTTTCATATAATGTATATTTAGCATTTATTGTATTTATGTTGCTATTATGTCAGTCTCACGAGCGAAAAGATAAGTTACGTTTAATGTTTCAAACGTTTTTCAATGTATAGATCATGAATTTCAATAATTGTTACGAAAAATAAATTCAGAAATCAATCATTAGATAACAATTATTAGATAACAATTATATGTAATACATGGTGGGATTAAATAATTATATTAATATTGTATAAGTATTAATTAATTAATTGAAGATATATAGTTTATAATTATTAAATATAATTTATTAAATTATATATTTATTTTTTGTAATTGTTACAATTTTGAAACAAGTGAGCCGTTTATTTTGAAAGTGGCCTAAGTCTATTTTCCAAAAAAATCGAGCTAGCTATTTTAACATTTACATTTCTACATTTATTTTTAAACAAACTGTAACTAATATATTTAAAATTACTAAGATTTTGTACACAGAAAATTAGCTGGTTAATAGAATGATAAAAATTTTTATTTTGAAAGTAGCCTAAGTCTCATTTTAAAAGTTTAATCAAACATATGAAGTATATTATGCAGTAATAAAATTTTATGAGGAAAGGGCTATATTTTTTATTATTAAATTAGTGGTGTTCGATTAGCTCAGATAGTGATTTTTTAAATAATAATAATTCCATTAAATATATAATTTTAATATATTAATACAAATAAACAAGCAAGTAAGAAAGATCACTAATGTGATAAAAATTAATAATGGTAACCCGATTGGGTACACAATCTAATTTTCTAAAGTTTCCTAGTAAATTGATAATTTACCTAATGGTAACATAGTTACGGTAAATTTCGTAGTTACACAAAATACGCAGAAAGAAGCGCGTTATTTTCCTGCAGTTTGCATTGAAAAACAGAGTATGAACATTATTGTTTCACGTGTTAAGAACTTTTGTTTATTTTTAGAGTTTCTTTAAATTTGGATTGCTTAATTTTTACTTTGTTTTTAATATAAATTTCAACATGTTTGAAAGTGTGTTTACCTTCAAGTTACTTCAGACAGTGATGCAGGTAAGTAAAAAGACTGATTTATACATGTTAAAAATAATTCACACAATTATTAAAAATTTTAATGAAATTTTGATTTTTTTATATACAGAAATTCTACGCATGCGAATTAATTAAAAAGAAAAAGATTTTTGAAATCAGAAAGTGAAGATGATCTAAAAAGTATTAATTCTAATTTTTGAAATACTGGAAAGAGAAAAAGAATTATAGAAACATATTTATCATATACAGAGGGTGAAACTAATGTTTCAGACGATTCCACAAAAAAAATGTGAAGAAACAAGAGCGATGACACATATACTCAAAAATTACGAAAAAATCAAGCAGAATGCAAGAAAAGAATATTACACTCAAAATGAAAAATTTATACCTACAAAGGTATTCCAAAACAAAGATTGCTGTCCAAAGAATTGTATAACATATTTTCACGCAGAAGAAAGGAAAAAGATTTTTGATACATTTTGGAATTTGGGTGATTTCAATAAGCAAAATATATTACTTTATGAAACTACTGAGCGCATTGTTGTAAAAAGAAAACGGTTAAGAAATGGTAAAGGATCGCCAAGAAATCATAGTTTTAAATATTTTTTTAACTATTGCTCACGGAAAAATATCCGTTTATAAAAAATTCTTTTTGAATACGTTTAATATAAATGAAGAAAGTTAAAACGTATTTTAAAATCTGAAAATCCAAGAAAAATACTAATGGAGAAAAAGTAAATTGGATAAAAATATGTCGGATGCGATTTTTAAAAACTGAACCATATAAAATATTCTATAAAACATCAATAAATGAGAATGCACTATTCAAAACTCTGAATTTATTTATATATTACCGCGTCGGGGAAGGCCAAGAATCTTTAATGATATTGAGTTAACAATTATACGAAAATGTAAGACCAATTGTAACACTAATACAACGATATAATGGACTTATTACATTACATACTACCTGTACACATAATTATTAAAAATTCTTCCCGCGTACGCAAATTAGGGAAGAATTATAAATTACGAAATATTATTTGAATGCAATATTTCTTTAATAGTGAATAAAAGTTGGATATTTTTTAATTTTATAACACAAAATTATAATTTTTTTTTATTTTAAGAGAATTTTATTTTTTTCAAGGGACTTATGCCTTTTTAAAAGTTAAAAAGATTATTTCATTAAGCAGCTTAAGTCTATTATAGCTTCTAGCATAGCTCTATTATAGCCATTAAAAAGTGGCTAAGTCTATTTATAGCCATTAAAAACATTATTTTCTAAACAATATTTATCATACTAATTGGTTTGGTAAATTATATATTCTTAGAAACACAAAAACATTATACTACCATGTTACCAAATTTATCAAAACGCAATATATCTTGATTTAAAGATAAATGAATTTGGGCCACTTGAGCTCAATTGTTAATCTTACATTTTTCTATAGATAAACTTAATTCATTATACATCATAATGTAACTTGAAAATTATTATATGTATCTATGTATCTATATTTTGAAATTTTGTATATTTAATCTATAAAATTTTATTTTATATATTTAATTTTATTTATCTATAAAATTTTATTCAATTTAATTTTATTTATCTATAAAATTTTATTTAATTTAATTTTATTTATCTATAAAATTTTATTTTATATATTTAAATACAAAAATACCAAATAACTTATTTTAACAATTATTATTTTCCATATTAAATTGAAATAAATAACTAAAATTAACCGGAATTAATAATTTTCTTAAGTACAATATTAATTAAGTACAATACTACAAAAGGTTAAATAATAAAATTTAAGTATCTGTTATAATCCGAAATTCTAAATTGCTCATAGTAAAAATATAACAATATTATTTTTTATATGTAAAAGTTATTATCAAATAGTTATTTTGAAAGTTATTTTAAATGATTTTAATTTATCAAGTTTTTAAAATATTGTATATTCATATTATGTAGATTTGATAGAATTATAAATAAATATATTAGATTTCAAGATGCTAGATTGTATTTTTTTTCAAAAACAGGAAATTCGAGAAAATAAAACAAAGACAATACACGTTAGTGTATGATAATTAACAATTCCTCGTCGATTTTAATGATCTTATAATATGATGTCAAACTCATCATTTTGAACAATTTTTGTCTGTATGTTACTGCCATTCGATTTTAATTCCTAAGATATGTATCTATAGAAATATGTTATTCGATGTTTAATAGCAAATTTTATTGGTTTCACTGATTTTTTTAAATTTATAACCATATATTCGATAGTATGCACTTCAATAATTTGAATCTCATCAATAACTTTTTTAATCGCGAGAATTGGCATTGGTTGAAGCTAGATATATTCCGAGCCGGTGAATATCTATTTTCAGTCAGAAAAGTTGATGAGATTCAAATATCACTTGTTGAAGTATATTATCTAATATGTTGAAATACAATTGAAAAATTATTGAAATCACTGGAGGAATCTTGTTCACTAAAAATCGAGAAGTACATTTTTATAAATACCTTAGAAACTGAAACGATAATATTTATAGGTAAAAGTTGCTCAGAATGATGAACTTGATAACATATTTCAAAATCGGTGAGAAATTGCTAATATAAATAATTACCTGCCTTGTTAATATTAGAATTATCAAAATAATCAAAATGATCAATTCGTAATTTTTTATAGATTATAATATTAGCTGTAATTAATATACATTACGAACAATAATTATAATTTTCAGAATAATTTTCAGAAATTGAAATGATTTTTAATAAAAAGCGCAAGAAACAGGAAAGAACTTTTAATACAATAAAGAACACAAATTTTTGTTCATCAGTTATAAATCTTATATTTTAATTTTTAACAGTTTTAATATTAAAATGTTCCAAAATTTCTTCAATTTACTGATGTAGATCTAGAATTAATTACCGAATGTGTGGTGATTTGTTGTTCGAGAGAAATTTCAGGAAATATTGGCATGACGAATAAAATTTATAAGATACTACATATACAACGCTGACACTAAAAAGGAAAACACGATACATTTACCTGTTTATCTGGCTCTTTGCTTTTGACGGTGACAACACGATCGCAGTAGCTACTCTCCAACAAAATAACGCCGCTGGGCCTCGAACAGCTTTCGTTTTCATAATAGAACAGCAAGTTCTGTAATATATATATATATATATAGTCATCGTTATATACGTATGCAACAAAACGGATCAATATGAAATTTTAAAGCAAACACGATTTCTCGAAGCGTGAGGGAAAGAGTTTGCGCTCGATCATGACTTAAATGTTATTTGTACGATGTCACGTGGAATAATTTTTACGAAGTAGATTGTACTTGTACAATAACATGAGTTGGAATTTCCATTGTTTTTTGTTACGTTTTAAAGAAGCAAAAACTGCGGCTATAGTGAAGGACGAAAAATTTCGAGAAACAAAACGCTTTCAATCGAAAAATTTCAATTGTAAAATTTCATGTGAAATGTGTATTTTTTTTAAAAGCTCACATATATACAGTCTTAAAATTGAACATCTAAATACCTCCTTCATAGTTAGCACTTAATATTTGAATTTCAACATTATAGTTTTTGTACATTTTCGCCGATGGACTTCGGACATCTGTAGAAATCCTATATATTGTTTTAAAATTTCATCTAAAATTATTTCAATATATTTTTCGTGCTACATGATGTAATAAAAAAAGTATATAAATGCTATGTAGCAGAAAATGACCCAGAAAAAAAGATAATCATAGAAGAAGACGTTTTGTGTACAATATTATTATATTAAAACGATTCAAATACTGAAACACTTTTTTATATTATTAAAAATAAAGAAGACACAAATATTCAGCCTTAAGCGAGACACGATTTATATATATATATATATAATAGAGCTTCTCATAACAAAAAATAAAAATATTTCGTTAATGGAACTTTCAGATAAAAGTACAATCATTTTTTTTGATATTAAATTGCATGTATCCTTAATAAAAACTAAGAAAATATTAAAAATAAATATGAATTATGTAATTCTTTTAGCATAAGTAATTTTGTAATTATTATATTCTTTTTATGCTTGAAAATATCAAAATTATATTCCAAATATCTTAAATTTCATCATTTTTACTGTTTCTGTTTTGCGTCATGTATCTAATAAATGAAGGTTAAGAAAATTATCAGTTTATTTCAATATCTTTTTAAAAATACTATACCATCTTCCTCGAATGATTACTTAAATTCTTTTTGTATAAATAATTCTGTACAATTACATTATTTTTACGCTTAAACAATCGGAGTTCTTTTCTAAATGTTTTGAAATTAGAAAAATTATTTCATGACATCTTTGTCGCTTATAAATGAAAAATTGATTTCTTATAAAATTTAATTTAATTTTGTCAGAATTATCCTTTTAATAAAATTTTGTATCTTATATTTTAGTAAATTCTTTTTCTAATTATGAAAAATATGCAAAAAGGCAATAATAATATAATAAAATAATTTAGTACAAGAAGAAGCATTAGTAGTAAATATTCTGTTCGGTAATGGAGTTTTGGATATGGAAAGCATTACTATATATACATAGATATATAATTCAGATGACTGTATGTTTCATGTGTGAAATATATAGATTTTCTAATATAATTGTTAAGGTCAAGGGCATGCAACACTTATGGTATGGATGTTCTCCAACTCAGCGTGGCAAATCAGGAATTTGACCACTTCGAAACCTCCAGATAAGGCGCCCTATACATCTGGGTCAATCTAATTGTAAGTTAGATAGCGACGAAGTTTTCCGAACCACAGGGATCATCGTGTCATAACAACTGCGTACTCGAGGGATTGTGTATGCAGCGGGATAGTTTTCCTAATAATAAGATGATCGTTCTCAGAAATGCTGATAGGAAAATTTGGAAACCTTCCTTCATATTTCTTAATTGATCTTGGCATATCCCCTGCTCTACAACTCTTCCTTTGGAAAGGGCAATTCAAGGCTCGATAAAAGGGAGGATTAAAGAGTCTTACGGAGTTATTTAAGTGACACACAGTCAAAAATTAGAGTCACACATTAGAGTTACACGAAATCAAATCAATTCAGAGTTAGTTACAAATTAGCTCAGATCAACCATTTGTTCAACATTCTTGACCACGCAAGAATTGTGTGAACTTGAGTTTATTGTGTAGGAGCCACCAGATTCAATACACAATAAACTGAAGTTCACAAAATTAGTTTCATTTTCATTCTCAAGGACCAATGGATGGTCCTTCGCGTCCAAGGCAGATACGCAAAAGTGCATGAACGACATCAGTCGTCATTGACCTTAACAAGTATATATATATATATATATATATATATATATA